CTTTAGAGTAAAGTCTAGTATATAACATGGGGAAATTGAGGTTTTTTAGATGCAGTAGCCTTGCAAATGTTGTGCTTTAGACCTGCAGTTAATGGACTCTGGTCTGCAGAGCCAAGGCCTCCACAGTCACTCCTGGCTTTCAGCTAGGAGCTGGAGAGGGTGTGCTGTCTCTTGAGTAATTTTGAGAATTTACACCAGCGTGAAGGGTTTGGGACTGTTCTTTGCATGGTGACTATTGGAAGAAAAGAAGAGCATTGTTAAGGGCTGAGGGGGCTTTGGGGAAGGTAGAATTGGAGGGCCAGGAGTAATTTTATGAAATCTGTCCAAAAAAAGTGAAATGAAGGTACCTTCTGGAAAAAATTCACGAAACCTATTGGGTTGTGGTCTTTTATCCAGTTTTCTTCATTCCAGCATTTTTTCTGCACATGCCTGAAGAACATACCTGTCAGGGCACATGGTATTTTTTATAAGCAAAATTTGAACCTGACATCCAGTTCCTATCACTGTTAGCTCTGCTTGCAGCTCTGGAGGTTTTAGACAAAAGCACTCCTGACACAACTGATTTGTCTGCACTGCTCATTTATTTTCTCCCAGGACCCTGTGGTTAAACCACTTTGTTGTTCATACTTTTTACAGTGATGTAGAAATGCTTGCCCTAGGATCTGAGCCATAACCTCATGAGGTGGGAGAGGATTGTATAATAGCACCATGACAAACCAGCTCAGGACTGCAGGATGTTGGAGTGGTTCCCCACAGAAAAGTAAACGGTTTGTTTTTAAATCATTACAACAGCCATTTGGTCTAGAAATTTCCATCCTTTTGGACATTTTTTTTTTCCTGTGGAGGAGCAATAGGAGAGAAACTCAGTTCATGCATTTACAGTTTTTTTAAAAATTTTAAAGTAAAAGTTTGTCATTAGTAGTCCAGTCTTAAGCAGAGGCTTTTTATTTCTATGTTTTATGTAAAAATAATTGTAAAAATATTATAATATTATATATTTTATTTGCAACACTGCTTGGGCTTTAAATTTTGGAAAATAAGCTACTTTTCTTCCATCTTTTGATTTTTGCCTAATTCCAATCCAATATATATGCATAAATCAGTTCCTTTAATGGAATCACAATACTAATTTGGGCATTTTCATGCCAAGACTTGCCACAAACACTCACACTTAAACAGCAGCTGCAGTGGGAGGTCAGGTTGAATTAAGGGGGGAACATAGAAAATGTCCTTCTGGGTGAACTGATCCCTTGTCACCATCAGGACACTGCAGAGATTGTTCTGGGTTTAAATGTTCAAATGGCTCTAATGGAGCTAAGCAACTAAATCAGATTTGGCAAGTAGGAGGAATTTTGGAACTTATCTCCCTCTTCTTCTGAAAAGTTGAGCTTTGAAACTCTGAAATGATCTGAGGTGACGAAAATTCCAAATAGTAAGAATTGCAGCATATTTTAGGTTGGAGTAGACTTGTCTGGCCATCTGCTGAGAGCATCCCTAATTAGCTTGCTCAAGGCCTTGTCCAGCTGCATTTTCAGTATCTTGAAGGATGGAGATGCCACTGTCTCATGGCAGCCTGTTCTGGCATTTGATGCACCTCATTATGACAAGAATTTTCCTGATCTCTAATCAGAATTTTCTGTGTTCCACTTTACATCTGTCCTTTCCTGACCTATCCCCTCCAATCATTTCATGTCCTCTATTTCCTCCTATCAAGTAATGTAAAAAAGCCTCCTCTTTTTCAGGCTAAACCAGCCCAATTCCATCAGCCACTTTCTCAATACCTGCTGCCAAGTATTAATAGTAGGTTCTACTTAAATTTAAGTGACAGAAGCACACAGCCTCTTCAATTTGACTTGAGAATTTTCTTTGAGGGACTCTGTGCTTTTTGCTGACCAGACCCAGCCCACTCATTGTTGCCCTCTTACAGTTTTCTGTGTGGGCAGCAACAAGGTCCCAGCAAAAAGGAAAAGGACAATAAGGAAGGGCCTCAGAATCTTGGGAAAATTAGCCAAGGGATCTGGAACACACATTTAGTTCTCTTCTGTGCTGCCATTGCAGGGAATGATGGAGCAAGAAACAGGAAAGTCATGCAGATGCACACCTGGCTTTGAGACTGCTGTAAACAGCAACATTTTGTGGTTTTTGATTCTGGGTGAATTTATACAACTCTGAGCTTGCTGGCAGCAAATGGGGTCCACCTGTATCAGAAGGGAAAAGGGATCTTAGCTCAGAACTCAGCAGGGCTCATTGAGAGGGCTTTAAAATAGATTTGAAGTGGGATGGAGGCATAGCCAGGCTCGACAGAGATAAGGTGTGGGGCCAGTCTGATGGAAAGCAGCTCTGAGGAGAAAGCTCTGGGGGTCCTGGTGGACAACAAGCTGTCCATGAGCCAGCAGTGTGTCCTGGAAGCCAGGAAGGCCAGTGGTATCCTGGGGTACATTAGGAAGAGCACTGCCAGCAGCATGGGGGTGATCCTGCTCCTCTATGGGGCCACACCTGGAGTGCTGTGTCCTGTTCTGGGCTCCTCAGGACAAGAGGGACACAGAGCTCCTGGAGTGGGTCCAGTGGAGAGTGGCAAAGGTAATGAAAGGACTGGAGCATCTCCCTTGCAAGGAAAGGCTGAGGGAGCTGGGCCTGTTCAGCCTCAAGAGATAAATGAGAGGGGACCTGAACAATGTCTGTCAGTGCCTGCAGGGAGGGGTCAGGGCATGGACCAAGCCCTTCTGGTGGTGCTGGGCAATAGGACAAGAGGCCATGGGCAGAAACTGATGCACAGAAGCTCCACCCAAACATGAGGAAGAACTTCACTGTGCAGGGATTGTGCACTGGAACAGATTGTCCAGAGAGGGTGTAGAGTCTCCTTCACTGGGGATATTCCAGAACACTCTGGAGGCAATTCTGTGCCATGTGCTCTGCTTGAGCAGGGAGGTGAGAGCAGATGACCCACTGCATCCCTTCCAGCCCAGTCTGTGATTCTCTGCAATGTTTATCTTCTTCTCTACCTGTACCAGCCAACATTGTTTGGTTTGTTTTGGTTTTTTTTTCCCCTAATATAAAACATGCTGCCTCTCTCTGAGAAGAGCTATGTTTTCTCTCAGGACAGTTCATGTGCTGTACTAGCATTCTGCTAAACATCTGGGTTTCAATAGCTTTTCTTGACACACACACACTCTGAAAGTCATGTAAGAATTTATTATTTATTATCAAAACAGTAAATTTCCCAGGAAATGTGAAATTGTTTAGAATCAATTGTTTTTGTTGCAAAGAAGAAACTGTTGAAGAGACAACCTTAAATATAATAAAATAATAAATATTAAGAAAGTGCCTTTACAATAAACTGGTTGTTTAAGGATTAATGTAGCATGTTTCAAGTAGTGATTTATGAATGATGAGTCAGACTTGGAATTCAAAATTTGCTTGACAAAGCAGAGCAAACAATATGAAAATTTTACATGATGAAATTGCTTATTGCTTAAGCTCAATTTACTATTAGCTTTTGTTAAATTATTCCAAAATAAAATCAAATCCAGATTCAAACCCTGGACCTTCTCTCTCATGATCTGAATAGAGGCAAGTAGAATCTGCATTCTCCAGCTTTGAGATGCTCATTAAACTTAGAGTTTTCAGTGAGAAACCATGGAGTTATGAAGGGATTGAATCCACAGCTGGCATTTCTATCAGCTTTGAGCTTTCATTTAAGACATTTCATTTTAGTGCATGTCTGATGATTTAATATGTCTAGCTGTAGATAATTTGCTCTGTATCATATCCAGTGTAGGTCAGGGTAGCCTTTTGATTTCCTTAGAATACAAAATTTCCCAAAGCTCAAAGTGGGGCTCTTTGTGCCTTCTGAGCTGGGAGCAGAAATGCCATCAGCCAGTTCTGGGGCTGCTCCATGAGTGAGTTCCCAACGACCCTGGCACCCAGATAATGCCAAGGGAGGCAGCACTTGGTTGTGCAGGACCCTCACCCAGCCCTTTTGGCTGCCCACAGGGTATCACTGCTGCCTGGATGGCCTTTGGGAGCCCTGCTGGGGAGCTGGGACACTCTGCCAGGTGCATTTCTTTCCTTATCTGTTGGTGTTTGTAGGTCTTTGGGGGCCTCATTTCAGGGTAGTCTGTTAAAAGGGCTTTGTCTAACTAACGTTCTCCTTTGCAGACACAGCCAGGTAATGTATTTCAATGTTCTTTGCAATTGCTCACCTAGAATGGTATTGTTAAGTTCCATTTATTCCTACACAATTTATTTTCTACTGTGTGTTTTTCAAAATCCCGTCTCTTCTGGAACTGGAAATTTCGTGAGAAGTTGAAGAAAAACAAAAAAACTTGTTTCATACTTTGCTAATTCTTTACTTGACTGTGTTGAGGTTTTAATTTTATAAGCCTTCATTATGACATTTTTTCTTCCCCAATATCTATTTATTAACTTTTTCATTTCCTCACAGGATGGCTTTGGTATAATTAACATTTTTCTGACCAGTCTCAGAACTTTTCTGTTCTTTGATATATCAGTTGAAAACTGATTTGCATATTGAAACTGGATGGACTTCTTAAGTAATAACCTATTTTCAGCTTGTGCACTTTTTGGTTTTTTAAAACTGACTGCTTTCTGAGGGCTTCATTGAGGGTTTTTAATTGACTTAGGGGCATTTAAATCATGTTTTCATTGAATTATTTTCCAAGTTGGTGTCTGAACCGTAATCCCAAGAATCTCTAAAGAAATTAATTTCTTGTACAGCACAAGGTTTAGTAGGTACAAGTCAGATGATCCACCCAATTGCACAACTAATTTATCCTTAAAGGGAACAGGTTGGAATGTCTCCATCCACAGTTTTTACCAATTCTCTCTGCTAATTGACCAACTGATGTCTAGGCATGTGTCTTGTTTTTTCCCATGTATGGGTTTTGGATATGCACTTGTATAAATTCCCTGTTCCCTTTAGTCCCCATGATAACATTAGAAGGTAGACTGAGATTCTTTTTTCTTGCTTTTTTGACCAGACTCAGAACCGTATGAAGCTGATGGCTGACAACTATGAGGATGACCACCTCAAATCCTCATCCCATTCCAACCAAACCAACCACAAGCCCTCCCCTGACCAGGTAATGTCTCTCTCTTTTTTGGTTTTAAAGTAATTTTTACTGTGAGGGCTGATGATTTTGTGTCATAAGTAGTTTTCCCTGACATGCTTGCAGTACTTTGGAACAAAAGTAGCATTCCAGAATGCAGTTATAAACTAGAACTGGGTGTTGTTCTTGTGTTGGCCCTGTGCAAACTCCTGAATGAACAATTCCTGGTACCAAGCTGTTGTTAGGTGGGTGGAGAGGAGGAGGTACAGTGAAAAGGAACAAAAACTGTACTCTCCCAAAATGTGAGACTCGAGTCCTGTATGACATATTCAGATTTTAGTAGCTCAGGTTTACTGCTTGAGTGTGTGGAGTGTCCAGGACTGTTTCTTGTCTTCAGTAGCAGGAAATCATGCTCCAGGATCAGCTTTCTGATCTATGGACTGCATACAAGCAGTTCCCTCCATTTCCCACGAGGAAATCCCAGCCCTGGTGCCAAATGAGCACAGACTGCTCCCTCACAAACTCAATGGGCCATGAACTGAAGGAAAATCAATTTACCATCTCCAAAGCAGTGAGGAGCCTCCTGTGGCATTTACAAAGCACAGCCATGTGCTTGATAACTATTAGAGAGATTAACCATCCCTTGGGTAGCACAGAAAATGCCAACATAATTGCACATCCCATGTTGTAATCTCATCCACTGCAGTTTAATTAAAATATTAGCCATCATTAATCACTGCCTCAACGGAGGGAAGGAATGCTTCTCTTTGCCCTCTGACTCATGTAGAAATTGGTGAGATATGAAGGGAAGCATATCTCTCCGGACCTTTAAGTGCCAGCTTTGTGATACACTGAAATAATGAGTAAGATACAAGAGGAAAATGGCAAAAGCCAATTACTTATTCACCCTGCAAAAATAGATCTTGAAAAATCTTCTTTCGTGTCTGCATCAGAAAACAAGAAGGGGTATATACAATCAAACAAACAGAAAAACTATGATTTCCAAGGGAGCTTCCCTTTGCATCTTAATTTAATACCTTCCTCCACTGCATGTTGACTGGTTTGAATTTTCTGCAGTGTTTTTGGAAGATGTTGATGTTTCACTTTCCTTTTTCAGGAGAGTGAAATTGTTAATACTAAAAATTAAATGGATTTCCTAATCTTAATTTGGTGCAAATGTTAGAATATCTGTTTTTTCTACCCTGAAGTCTACAGAGAGCTGAAACCATTTCCAGCATGAAACTTTAATATGTGCTTGTACATAAAGGCAGCGTAGCATTCACAGATGAAATGAAATTTAGACACTTATAGAAATTCTTGCAAAGACCCCACAGGGAAGGGCAATAGGGAAGAGAGGAGGTGGGAGGAGGCTCTGATTGCACTTCCCCTTTGCAAAGGGGCATTTTAAAGGCTGACAAAGCCTACAGGGGAGCAGAGAAAGCTGTACCTGATGGAGGCTCAGAATACTGCATAAGGAATTGAAACGCTTTGTACTACTGTTTGTACTTTATGTGCTTTAAATACTAACCAACTCTTTATTTCATTCCCATGCTGCTCTGGGGCTTTCCTGTGCACCTCTAGGATGAGGAGGAGGGTATTTGGGCATAACCAGTCAGATGCTCTTAGCTCAGCCATTTTGTTCAGAACGGTGAGAACCAACCTGTCCTGCCAATAGAAAAGTTTCCGACAGTCACTCCCACCCCTCGCTGCTGTGCTTTGTCAAACCTGGCTGTGCTCCCTCCCCTTGCTTCCATGTCCCTGCATGAGGGTGTTTCTCGTGTGTTCATGTGCAGTTTGTGATTTTCTTCTTCCAATCATCCTCTCCTTGTTTCACCATGTTGTGGGGAGAACTTCCCAGGGCATGTAATTGAGTTTCCGTGCAAGTACGAGAGAGCAGGAAATGTCTTTCATGTCATTTATCATTGACTTCACGGAGGAAATGTTTTCAGTGGGATTCTTTTTCAAAGCAGTTTGTGCCCTAGCCAAACCTATGTGTGCTCTTTCAATTCTGGTTTGTAAAGAATGTGCTCCAGGATAATGTTCCTCCTGAAGATAATGTTCCTTCTGAAGGTTTTGAGCATGTTGAGATCTGCTGCAGAGATTGCTGCCGTGCACGCTGACCTAACTAGTCACAGATATTTATCAACTCACAGTACAGGATTCTCTAGATGGACTAGGAGTATGAATTGTCCATAAATGTGAAGGCAAAGAGGAATATCCCCTTAACCTTCCTCTCTCCCTTCCACCTCCCTCATTCTTTTAAAACAGTGTGAGAGAAATTAGGAGCTGTTTTTCATTAAAGTAGGTTTTGTTTCTCTGTGTCCACGTCCACAATTTTTTCTTTTGTGCTGTCAAATTGTCCCCACAACAATGCCCATTTCCAAAAGGGAAGACAGTGCAGAGGACAGATCCTGCTCCTCAAGCCTGTTCTTCAGCAAAAAAACCTCTTACTGGCCAGGAATCAAGTACTGATTATTAACACTACAGTACACAGGATTAATTTATGCCTTGGAGTATCAGTTTTAGAGCAGAATGTATTTCTCTGAAGTACTTGAAGTACTTTAGAGGCCTGATGACAGTATTTTAAAAACTTACATGAAACTTTTTCCTTCTTCACTTATCCTTTTAAGAAAAAATATTTCACGTTAGTTTCTGTGCACTTTTTTCTAAGAATTTGATTTTTTTATCAGTTATTTGAAAGAAAACTGAAAATTTCTGTGGAAATCTTGGACCCTTGCATTTCTGAAAATTATTGCTTTGTATTAGATTTGTAAAACATTCATGAGAGAGTAAGGCACTCTCATCTCTTGCACTTGCTCAATTAACTACAGATTTATAGTCTGTCTGCATAGATCAAATCCCTTTTTTCAAGCCAACCATCTGAAAAATTTAATCCAACTGTGGCAGTGTCAAACTTGAATTTCATGCCTTGGGGTTTGAGCTGAGAAAATCTCTTTAGTGGACAAATTGATAAAGTGCTTCATTAATTTGCACTCGCTGTTGATTTCACATTCTTTTTGAATCACCGCTCCTGCAATGGTTGTGCGCTCGTGTGTGTTGTTAAAAGTGTTAGAGATAATGCTTGCAAAGATCAGCCGAAGCACAGAAATTAAACCAGGGGGAGAGCAGGTAAGTAAATGATGAAAAGGAAGAGGACACTCACTATGAAGGTAGGAATAATTCTGATTTTCCTTCTGGAGCAAGCATGGAGTTTGTGTAGGAAACACTGAGAAAGATTTCTCTTTCCTCTCCCATTGCTGGTGCATTGAAGAATGCAACTGTGCTAAGAGTATGGTTTTTCATAGTTTTCTGAATTAACGGGTGGTTGACATTAAAAACAGCTTATGTCTCCAGTTTGAGGCACTTTCCTCAAGAAAGCTGTTACAGAGTATCCCAGTCAAAATAATGAGTCAGCCAGCAGCTTTGCCTTCCCCTCATCTCAGCAGAGAAACTTGTCAGCCTCGACATTGTCGTGCATACATCAGCAGGGAAGGTATAAAGGTGATGGATGCTTCCCAAGCCAGTTATTCCCAACAGAATACATGTTTTTACTGTGATATTCCATGTTCATTTAAAAAAAAAAAGTCCTTATTCTCTTTGTAAAAGCTAAGATGATGTAAGTTACAGAGTCCCTAACCTCCATGTGTTGAATTAAATTTATGTATTACAATGATAAAGTGTAATTAATAGCATAGGACTTGGCAATAATTTCGTTTTTTAAAGTTCTTTCAGGTCTGTGGATGCAATCACCTCTGGTCAATACTGAAGATTAAATGGAGACAAAAAACTATGTACAATAGTTAACTACATTCTTTTATTGTTATGGTTTAGGTCTTAAGGCTTTTCCCCTGCAGCATTCTGGAATTGACTGAAATTAATATTTAATTATGCCAAGTCTGTACATGACAGCACTATCAGATAGAGCTCCCCTGAAATGGATCACTGTTCATAAACATCTGCACCCTCCCTGTAATTTCTGAGGATGGTAGTTTACATTTCAGTTTATAGTTCAATGTAAATACCATCTTTCATCCTGAAATAGTTTTTCCTAGCGTTTTTCACTCCGCTCGTTTCTTTGCTGTGTGAATTTCTTATGACTCCTTTTATTCCCCAGATGGAGCTCTATCCTCCTCTACATCCAAGTCAATTCCAGTGTAATTTCACACAAGGTCTTTGGTCTTTCTCAAATGCCAAACTGCTCTGGCCAATGGCTTCGTTATTAGTTATCACTCACTTTTATCAAGAATAATGTGAATTTACACCTTAGGAGATCTAATACATGCAAAAGGATAGGTGTGTATGTGGGTGTATCTCCTTGTAAATCTGTGCCAGGTGTGTGCCACGTGAGGGAAGGAAAGCAAAGCTTCCATACAGGGAATTCCCAAGCTGCTCAATTCATCCAGTTGTCTTGTGAAGCACAGCTGTGCTTCCTAAAATGGGAGAAAATGTGGGTGTGGTTCAGAAATCTGCTTCATCTACTCATTGATTCATTAATTGAAAATTATTATTATTATTAGAGCAACAGTGGAATGGTCAAAGAGCTAGCATGGAACTGGAGTGCATAAAAGTGAGGATATTTCAAGACAATGAAAATATTGGCAATTCCTATTACCCTAAAAACACTGTAAGACAAAAAGGCTCTTGGTGACATTTTTCTTCAGTACTTGAGTTTGACAGATTTTAACTCAGAAGCACTGAGTATTATGACTTGAGTACTGAAGGAACTCACAAAATTTATCACTTCAGATTTAAAGGTGATGTCTGTGGTGGAAAGAGGGGGTAAGTCATTACAGGAAAATACTTGGCTCATCTCAAGGCCTAATGTAATCTTTGCCAGAGCAGACAAACCCTACAGGAAGTTTTCATTGGGATCACTACAACACTAAAAGTGTCTATACTTTGGGAAGTTTGAGGGGAACGTTGAAATTTTTTTCTACATTATTTGATGCTGATTTCTTTTAGTGAAGTAAATAGTTTTTCATGGTGAGTCCCATATTTAAATTACACAGGGCATTAGTTCGCTACATAAATGT